GGTGTGGGGGGGGGGGGGGAGTTCTGGGAGGGGGCAGGGGCACAGTGGCAGCATTCCAACTTTGAAATGTTCAAAGCGGAAGCGCCTGCATGGAGCTCGAGGTCAGTAGACTCCCCCCTGGACCCCGGCGCCACACGGTGTTTCAGTCTTTGAAATGCACAAGAGCCCCTGTTGGGATGCTGCGCTAGTCCTTACTGACTAATCGAATAGTCGATGGAAATCCCATTGGCTATTTGATTAGTTAATTAATCAAAATTTAACATCCTACTGCCGACAGTGGCCAATACCAGATGCTCCAGTGTGCGTGAACAGAACAGGTAATGATCAAGTGTTGCCCATCCCAGCTTCAGGCAAACGGCTACGGTTATCATCCCTGCCCACCTTGACTACTGATGGGCCTATCTGCCGTTAATTTATTTAGTTCTTTTTGAACCCTGTTATAGTCTTGGCCTTCACAACATCCTCTGGCAGAGTTCCACGGGTTGACTATGCATCGTGTGAAACAGTACTTCCTTTGTTTGTTTTAAACCTGCTGCCTCTTAATTTCATTTGGTGACCTCTAGTTCTTGTGTTCTGAGGAGTAAATAGCACTTCCTTATCTACTAACTTTACACCAGTCATGATTTTATATTTTTTTATTTTATAAATAACGCTGCTTTAAGATCAGTTTCTAGAGCATCTCTCTCATTAAACATGCTAGAACCAATAATAAAGATCTATCTGAGAAGTAGCAAACTATACAGGCTGGTGAGATGTGGTGAGAAGAAAACAGAAATACTCCAACAATAAGTGTTGCCAAGATAAAAAAAAATTACCATGTTATCTAAAAATTGACTTATTGTGTCACCTTTGTGAATGAAGAGTGATTTTTTAGCCTCCATACCATCTGTAATGGGATTAATAATTACCTACCTACCAAACCAGAAAGTTGGGATGCTGAGTTCATTGGTGTTTTTAAAGTGCTTTGAAGTTTTTGCTTTGAAGGCGTTACAAACGTGCGCAGTGTGCATGCATGTGTGTATATAAAAAGAAAGAAGAAAAAAGAAAAACAAGTGGCTAGAATATCTGTGACATTCCAGAAAGCATCATTCTGGAGAGTTTCTAAAAAATCTGGGATAGCAATGATGTATCATCACAGAAATTTTTTAAAAAGATAACATATATTTTTGTGCTAAATACCCCACAGCTTGATAAATTCACTTTATTGTGCCTCCATTTTTATATAACTTTGCAGATCACCTTTTAAAAAATGTTGTGGGTGTTTTTCAAAGGCAATACAGGCAGTCCCCGACTTACGCGGATCCGACTTATGTCGGATCCGCACTTACGAACGGGGCTTTCTCGCCCCGGAGGTCGGGGTGAGAAAGCCCCGTTCGTAAGCTGCTCCGGTGCCCCTGGTCTGCTGGAGACCGTCTCCAGCAGACCAGGGGCACCTACTGCTGACACCAGCCCTGCTGGTCCACGGCGCTGCTTTGGTTGGGGGGAAGAGGAGAGGCAGGGAGAGGACAGCGCAAGAGAGGGAAGAGTAGAGCAGAGGTGAAGAGGAATGGTCCTGACCCTTCCCTGTGTTGGGGGAGGAGTTGCATGGCTGGTGGTCCCCCAGATGGCCTCTGACCATTCCCCTGTGGTAGAACCGCATGTGAGCACATGACCAGAGCTTCTCTGAGCTGCCATTTCCCCAGCCAGAGGGAGTAGGGGATGACATCAGAATGAAGAACCACTTCCTCTCCCCTGCTAGGCAGAGCCCGTGGGCCCGATGCAGCCTGTAACTTGCATTGATCCAGCCTGTTACGCTTGGGATTCCGGACTCCATAGCAGGACAAGCCAGCTCTGGCTTGCTCTGTTGTGGGAAGAGAGAGCCCAAGCCTCGTGGGCCGGATCAAGACATGCCGCATGCTGGGCCATAGGTCCCCATCCCTTTAACTAGATACAAATTTAATCACTAGCAGAACTTAAAATTATCGATAAGGTGAACTGATTTCGAAAGAACATGGTTTTCAAAGAAGAATAAATAAATTAAAACTAAATAAATATTTAGCTACCAGATTGCAGAAAATATCTCAAAAGTAAGTGACATGTTATTGCATATACAGGCAGTCCCCGACTTACGCGGATCCGACTTACGTCGGATCCGCACTTACGAACGGGGCTTTCTCGCTGCTCCGCCCCAGGCAGAGTTGCTCTGCCCCGGGCTTCCTGGAATCAGCTGCTGATCAGTTTCAGCAGCAGCTGACTTGGGGACGCCTGGGGTTCTTAAGTTGATTCTGTATGTAAGTCAGAACTGGCGGTCAGTTTCAGCAGTGTCTGAATCTGGACGCCAGTTCCGACTTACATACAGATTCAACTTAAGAACAAACCTACAGTCCCTATCTTGTACGTAACCCAGGGACTGCCTGTATAAGCTCACTTGTTCAAACCTCAGATTTATTGGGAGGAGATACTGGAATCAAGTCTGTGGCATAAATCGTGTACAAAATGACATTAGAAGTCACAATCTAACTTTAATAGACTTTCTGAAGCCAATTTTCAAAATAGTATTAAGCTGTTCACAAACCTTAGCATACACATAACTTGCATGCACACAAACTTCCATCCTTATGTGAATGTAAATCCTGTTTTGTGTGTGCAAACATTTATATTAAGAAAAGTTTGCACATGTGTAACGCCAGCAGACCCAGATCATCTGCAGGTGGAATCAAACCTGGAACCACTGGAGTTTAGTGCATGAGCTTGTATCACATGAACTAAAAGCTTAGGCAGTAGAGCAGACTCATTGTTCTCTCTGTTGGTGGGCTCACTGGGCATGGTATACCGAGAGTTACACATGCATATGAATCTGGAAAACTAGGCCTCTTTGTCACTAAGTACAAATTAATTTACTCATTCTAGGAATAGAATCTGGTCTCTTGGTTAAAGCACTGAACAGGGACTCAAGATATCTGGTTTTGTTTCCCAGATCGACTGCTGTATGATTTACTGTGTGACACTGGGAAAAATCACTATTGCTCTGCAGCATGGTGTCACGCCTATAAAATTTGCACATCAATACTTCCTTTCTCCCAATCTGTCTTGTTTCTTTAGGGAACAAACAGTCTTGGACATGTGATACCTAACATAGTGAGGTGCTCAACTTAGTAGTAGCTTTTAGGCCCGTGGTGTCCAACATGCTAGCCACTAGCCACATGTGGCTATTTGGCCAGTTGAGTGTGGCTAGTTTGCCTCAGAACTGGTTGGACACCATGGCTTTAGGCACTACTACAATACAAACAATAATAATGATCATGACTACTGCAGCAAGTCTATCATCAGAATACAGATCTATACTCTATAGTGCTCCTTTTAATCTCATTAACTAAAAGTAGGAAATAAATATAATTTCCCTTACCAAATGAGGTTAAACTTAGCGAGCTGGGCCACTTGCTGTGAGAGGACCATAGAAAGCGCATCACGGCATAGGTCAAATTCTGTTCCACACACAGTACCAAAGTCCAGAACAATGATGATGCATGATTCCTGAATCACTCCAAATATCTGCCGACTTTCACCAGTTAGCCATTCCATTCTCTGCTTGTACAGCTCAATAGCTCCAGTTAGACAGTCCACAAAATGAAGAATTAGCTCTTTTTTGGCTGTCAGCTTTATTTAAATATAAATGAATGAAAACAAAGATCGAAACAAATAACTCAAAGCAATCCCAAATCCAGCAAAGCTGCAATGACTGATTTATAGTGCCAGATATGCCAGACAAGGTAGCAAGAGAAACAACCAGTTTTTCTTCCACTAATTTAGCAGAAAATACTTGACAAATGCCTCTGAATCACTCACATACAATGGAAAAGCCACTGTGCTTTATTCTGATTGCATTCCACAATATTTAAAACAAGTTCAGAGCAGCGTCAACTAGTTTGCATGATTTGTTTGTGAATAGATCAGAGCAAGGTAAGCGACTTAAAAGAAATAGGGGCATTGAGGGTGGGAAAAGATTGCAAAGCAGATGAATAGATAAACTGAGAACACTTGGAAACTAGTTATTAAGTTAGGGCAAGATTGTGACTTGCTCTTAAAATGCGGTGTGGGGGAATAAGGGGATGTATAGTTCTTTTCTGGGGCAGTATAATCTCAATCTTGTTCATAAGAAACAACAGAAGAAAATTAAAATGTTTCTTTGTCGAGCCAGCATTTCTGTTCTGTTTCCAAACATTGTTGGGCCTAAATATTTATATTGAGGCATTTGGTACAAATTTCAGGAATGCAAATTAAATATAAAGACTTATTTTCCATAAGCTCCAGCCCAATCAATAAAATAAGCAAAGCCAAGACCCACAACTGGAAAGAAAAATAATTGGATAACAAAAGGGAAATAAACCTAAGACCTTCTTTCTAGACCTTAAGACATTTGACTCTAGGCAAAGTTATAGGTCAGGGACAGGGAACCTAAGGCCCGGGGGCCGCATCCAGCTCCCGACTTGTCTGGATCCACCCCAGGATTCAGGGTTCTTCTTCCCTCCCCAGTATTGGGGAGTAGTTACTCGACTAGTCAACTAGTCGCTTACGTCCCTAAGTGAAGTTAGACCTAACAGCCTGTAAATGCCAGGATCACCTTTGAAGCCTTCTTTAAAAACCGAGATCACATTAGCTATCTTCCAGTCATCTAGTAGAGAAGCAACAGATTGATTTATTTCTCTTTATCTATTTGTTCCAAAACATCTTCTACTGACATCTCAGTCCAGGGCATTTCCTCACATTGTCGAGGGACTAGATGACTATCCGATAAGCTTTTGCTTGTCAGATAGTTGACTAGTCACTGACATCCCTATTACTGAGCAGTTCAGCTAAATTTGTTTTAAAACTAAATCAAGAATTAGAGGGGTAGCCGTGTTAGTCTGAATCTGCAGAAGCGATGAGGAGTCCTGTGGCACCTTATAGACTAACTGAAGTGTAGGAGCATAAGCTTTCGTGGGCAAAGACCCACTTCGTCAGATGCATGTAGTGGAAATTTCCAGAGGCAGGAATAAATATGCAGGCCAGGATCAGGCTGGAGATGACCAGGTGGATCCAATCAAGGAGGATGAGGCCCACTTCTAGCAGCTGATCTGGAGGTGTGAATTCCAAGAGAATAGAAGCTGCTTTTGTAGTTAGCAAGCCATTCACAGTCTTTGTTTAATCCAGAGTTGATTGTGTCAAACTTAAAGATGAACTGTAGCTCAGCAGTTTCTCTTTGAAGTCTGGTCCTGAAGTTTTTTTGCTGCAGGATAGCTACTTTTAGATCTGCAATTGTGTGTCCAGGAAGATTGAAGTGTTCCCCTACAGGTTTTTGTATGTTGCCATTCCTAATATCAGATTTGTGTCCATTGATTCTTTTACGTAGGGACTGTCCTGTTTGGCCGATGTATATAGCAGTGGGGCATTGTTGGCACATGATGGCATATATTACGTTGGTGGATGTGCAGGAGAATGTACCAGTGACAGTATGGCTGATCTGGTTAGGTCCTGTGATGGTGTTGCTGGTGTATATATGTGGGCAGAGTTGGCACCGAGGTTTGTTGCAAGGATTGGTTCCTGAGTTCGAGTTATTATGGTGCGGTGTGTAGTTGCTGGTGAGAATATGCTTCAGGTTGGTCCATTATGCTTCAGGCTGGTGAGAATATGCTTCAGGGAGGTCCATTTCCTGGACACCACGATACAAATAAGTGACGGTCATATCAATACCACCCTATACAGAAAACCTACCGACCGCTATACTTACCTGCATGCCTCCAGTTTCCATCCCGGACACACCACACGATCCATTGTTTACAGCCAAGCACTGAGGTACAACCGCATATGCTCCAACCCCTCAGACAGAGACCTACACCTACAAGACCTTCAACAAGCATTCTGTAAACTGCGATACCCACACGAGGAAGTGAGGAGACAGATTGACAGAGCCAGACGTGTACCCAGAAGCCTCCTGCTACGGGACAAGCCCAAGAAAGAAACCAACAGAACACCACTGGCCATCACCTACAGTCCCCAGCTAAAACCTCTCCAACGCATCATTAGTGATCTTCAGCCCATCCTGGACAATGACCCCTCGCTCTCACAGGCCTTGGGAGGTAGGCCGGTCCTTGCCCACAGACAACCCGCCAACCTGAAGCATATTCTCACCAGCAACTACACACCGCACCATAATAACTCGAACTCAGGAACCAATCCTTGCAACAAACCTCGGTGCCAACTCTGCCCACATATATACACCAGCAACACCATCACAGGACCTAACCAGACCAGCCATACTGTCACTGGTACATTCTCCTGCACATCCACCAACGTAATATATGCCATCATGTGCCAACAATGCCCCACTGCTATATACATCGGCCAAACAGGACAGTCCCTACGTAAAAGAATCAATGGACACAAATCTGATATTAGGAATGGCAACATACAAAAACCTGTAGGGGAACACTTCAATCTTCCTGGACACACAATTGCAGATCTAAAAGTAGCCATCCTGCAGCAAAAAAACTTCAGGACCAGACTTCAAAGAGAAACTGCTGAGCTACAGTTCATCTTTAAGTTTGACACAATCAACTCTGGATTAAACAAAGACTGTGAATGGCTTGCTAACTACAAAAGCAGCTTCTATTCTCTTGGAATTCACACCTCCAGATCAGCTGCTAGAAGTGGGCCTCATCCTCCTTGATTGGATCCACCTGGTCATCTCCAGCCTGATCCTGGCCTGCATATTTATTCCTGCCTCTGGAAATTTCCACTACATGCATCTGACGAAGTGGGTCTTTGCCCACGAAAGCTTATGCTCCTACACTTCAGTTAGTCTATAAGGTGCCACAGGACTCCTCATCGCTTCTGCAGATTCAGACTAACACGGCTACCCCTCTGATACTTGACACCATGCAAGGCACTGCATTTAGCCGTATGGAGTGGAAATCTATCAACCTCATGAAGAAACTTGCACAAGTACAAACTGATATCATCTTTCTCTCCAAATGCAAACGGATGGACATTATACCAAATGGACTGAAGGTGAAAAATCCATTGCTATCTACATACTGCACAGACTACAGTGAGAGATTATGCCATATACTATCCAAAAAACTGAGGAACCACCTGATCAGCATCCTGTACAGCAAACAGGAAAACATCAAAAAAGAGCTCTCCAATCTGGAGTCTCTCATAAAACACCAACCTTCTGCACAAATGGACTTTACTAAAACAAGACAGGAGATCTACATTACACACTTCACTTCTCTACAGAGGAAAAAGGACTGTAAGCTGTCAAAAACCCCCCCTGCCACATGGGGCCACAACAATGGTACCCCTAACTCACCCAGCAATATCCTCAAGCTCTCCAACTACACACTCAGCCTGGCAGAAGAATCTATTCTATCTCGGGGACTCTCTTTTTGCCCCGCCACCCCCACTAACATGATACAGTTCTGCGGTGATCTGGAAGCCTACTTTCGCCGTCTCCGTCTCAAGGAATACTTCCAACACGACACTGAACAGTGCACTGACACACAGATACCTTCCCACCAACAGCACAAGAAGAAGAACTCCACATGGACTCCTCCTGAGGGCCGAAATGGCAGTCTGGACCTCTACATAGAATGCTTCCGCCGACGTGCACAGGCAGAAATTGTGGAAAAACAGCATCGCTTGCCTGGTAACCTCAGTCGTGCAGAACGCAATGCCATCCACAGCCTCCGGAACAACTCTGACATTATAATCAAAGAGGCTGACAAAGGAGGTGCTGTTGTCATCATGAACAGGCCTGACTACCTAAAGGAGGCTGCCAGACAACTCTCCAATACCAAATTCTACAGGCCACTTTCCTCAGATCCCACTAAGGAATATACTAAGAAACTGCACCATCTGCTCAGGACACTCCCCAAACAAACACAGGAACAAATCGACACACCTTTAGAGCCCCGACCAGGGTTGTTCTATCTATTACCCAAGATCCACAAACCTGGAAATCCCGGACGCCCCATCATCTCGGGCATTGGCACTCTTACTGAAGGACTGTCTGGCTATGTGGACTCTCTGCTCAGACCCTACGCCACCAGCACTCCCAGTTACCTTCGTGACACTACGGATTTCCTGAGAAAACTACAATGCATAGGTGATCTTCCAGAAAACACCATCCTAGCCACCATGGATGTAGAGGCTCTCTACACAAACATCCCACATGCAGATGGAGTACAAGCTGTCAGGAACAGTATTCCTGATGATGCCACAGCACAACTGGTGGCTGAACTCTGTGAATTTATCCTCACACACAACTATTTCAGATTTGGTGACAACATATACCTCCAGACCAGTGGCACTGCTATGGGCACCCGCATGGCCCCACAATACGCCAACATTTTTATGGCTGACCTGGAACAACGCTTCCTCAGCTCTCGTCCACTTACACCCCTTCTCTACCTACGCTACATCGATGACATCTTCATCATCTGGACCCATGGGAAGGAGACTCTGGAAGAATTTCACCATGATTTCAACAGCTTCCACCCCACCATCAACCTCAGCATGGACCAATCTACACGGGAGGTCCATTTCCTGGACACCACGATACAAATAAGTGACGGTCATATCAATACCACCCTATACAGAAAACCTACCGACCGCTA